TCCAGCTCTGAGGGCTAGACCCTTAGCTCTACGTGGATGCTGAGGTAGGAGAATGAAGATGCACAGAGAAGGCTCTTATACAGTCATATATGGCACCATGTTCAACTGGAGAGCTTTATTCTTTGTTTAAATTACTTATTTTAAAAGGCAGTTTCCTTAGGACTTCATTATAGTTACATTATTACAAGAAAAAAGAGTTTGGAGCCTGTAGTGTATCTTGATCCTTTACTGGCATTGATAAATCATGGGAAAGGGGAATCTATAATTTTAATTGATACTACATTTTCAGGGATAGGAATAGTATTATTCTAATGTTTCATAGGTAGTTAAATGTTCCTTGGAAGGCTGAGTGAGAAAAAAGATTAGAACAAAAAGTGGAGACATTTTTCCTACACAGTAAAAATGGAATTGTTTTTGTAATTGCATCCTGACATGTTTTGTGGTTTGAGAATCAAGAATATTCAGGAATGTATTTTGAAATTTTTAACTGGTTTAAGTTTGTTTCCTTTGCCTTTGACTCAAAAGCAGAATGTAAGGAAATTGCTGATGAGACATTTAAAAAGAAAAAAACAACTCACCACAGGATAGGAAATTCTGCCAAAATGATACAAGAGCTCAGAAGTGAGGAGACCTCAGGCTTCCCTCTTTATAAACTCTGAGATCAGCAACCAGGAATAAGTGCCTATTAATGCATTTGATAAGCTAATATGCTGGGAGAATTTCTACCCAGAAGCTAGGGAGGCCTGTGAAACTGGAGGCAGACTGATGCAGGGACGTGGACATGCCAGAAAATGGACATAACACTTAAGAGTTACATTGCAGAGTGAGATGAAGCAGTTCAAGGTAGTTTCAAGTCATCCTGTGTGCTCAGGCAGATCTATTTAATGGGCTCTTCTTTCAAGGGGTATATTATTGCTAACTCTCCAAAGTCCACAATTAGTGTGAAATCATGGTAAAGCCTATTGTTTTAAGAAAGAATTTGGGTCTTCATAGGGAAATAAGCAGTACTCATTGTTTCAGGCTTGGTCTTTAGGAGGTGTTTTACAATATTTATTAATTAAACTTTTAAAAAATCGGTGCATTAACCAATAAGTTTTATAACACAAACCTATATATTTCTAAGTGATTTGGAGTCTATAAAGCATTTGAACTTATGTGATCCTTACAATGAGCACGAGAGGCATAGGCACTTTGAGGGTCAAGGAGATCAAATGATTTGCCTCTGGTCAGGAGTGGCTTCATGGGCCAGTGACCTGTTGTCACACAGGTTCCTGTGCTCTGAAGAGCTCGGCACTTGATTTAATGCTTTGTTATTGACATTTTGAAATTATTAATAATTTTTGAACAAGGTGCCCTGTATTGTCTGAGTGCAGAATACATGATCTTTTTCAAATAGGTCCAGAATCCTAAAACAAGTGGAGTAATACGTAAAAAAGCATTAGAAGTATTGAAAGGATATCTTATGGTAGAGTATAGGAAGACAGGTTGCTGAGAAAGAAGGGCAGGTTTGTATTATATGTGGGGAGAGCTGCAGCACTGATTCATGTTAATCCCTTCAAACCCCAGATTTTCATTATGGCAAGATGGTAATTATAAATAGTAATGGTTGGTTTATAAATATATTAATTTAGTAATTGCATTAGGAGGAAGTACATTATTTATTTACTATACAAAATGGTTTAGTAAGTAATAGCCACAAAACGTGATCAAAATGTCCATATTTGAGTTTAAAATTGGTATATATATGGCTAGCTGAATTCATAACTCCTATCACCAACATTGCTGGGAAGTATCCCTGTGCCAGGCCTAGAAGTTGTCAGCAAAACCCCAAATATGGTTCCTGTTCTCTGGGATGAGTAAGCGAGGTTTATTGAATACTGTGTACAGAGTATAAGACTCTATTGGGTTGATTGCCTTAAATAACTGTGAATAACAGTTATTTTATTTCCACCTGAACTTGATTATCTAAGGGGAAAGGGGAAGAAGACATTATTATGTTTTGGGGGGCAGGACCAACAAACTGGAAATGCCAAGTTCTGCTATCAGTCAGAAAAAAATTTAATTCAGACATCACTGTCCAGAAGTGCAGCATCACTTCTAATGATAAGATTGACTCAAACAATCTGGCATTAATGAAAGAAACATATAGTACTATTAAAGAGTGAAGTGGCTGTGGTGTTAGTGGAAACAAATACAAATATCTGAAAATAAATCCTACATAATAAAAGGCTAATATGCAAATCCAAGCAGTGGAACGACCAGTAGCTATGATGCGCACTGACCACCAGGAGGCAGATGCTCAACACAGGAACTGGCCCCTGGTGGTCAGTGCACTCCCACAGGAAGAGCGCCACTCAGCCAGAAGCTGGGCTCATGGCTGGCGAGCGCAGCAGCGGTGGCGGGAGCCTCTCCCACCTCTGCAGCAGTGCTAAGGATGTCCAACTGATGGGCCTAAGCTGTCAGTCAGACATCCCCCAAGGGCTCCCAGACTGCAAGAGGCCACAGGCCAGGCTGAGGGACCCCCCACCCCCGTGCACGAATTTCATGCACCAGGCCTCTAGTATGACAATAATATAGGTCACACTTGAAATCCTAAATGAATTAGAAACAGTTTGAATTTATCGGTTTTATCATGACAGATACTGTTGATAAGGATGGAAAATAGTAACTAGGTGGAAGTGCCTGCATTTTTATTTTTCTTCTTTTATCACAATATTTTCCTTTTTCTTCCTTCTTTCCTTGCATCCTTCCTCCCTTCCTTTCCTCTGCCTCTGCCTCTCCATTTTTTCCTTCATCCCTTTTTTTCTTCCATTCTTTCATACAGGATTTAAGGCATTATTATGATAGAAATAATAAAGAATAGAGAGTTATTCATTCAATTTTTAAAAATTCTTTAAATTGATATTGCAGGTTTATTATATGAAGAGCACTAGCTGATCACAGGTTTTCATTATTAAGTCACATTAGGAAGACACATACATGTAATGATATAATACAGAGCAGTGTGTGATGAGTTCTGTAATGGTGGGGAGCTAGAAGATTAATTCATCAATTGAGAAAGTATTACGGTTTCATGATGTTTCCAGATAAACAGCGATGAAAGACTATGTGTCTTAATGAGAAATCCTAAAACATGGAACAGAGATTTCCATCTCAGCTCTGCCTCTTATGAGTTATCTTTTTGAACAAGACATTACCTTCCCAAACTATAGATTATCAACGATGAATCATATTATGTACCTTGCCTCTTTGCTGGACTATTGTGATTATCATATCAGATTATTCAATTATAAAATATTTCTTGAACTCCAACTATATATGCCAGGCTCTGTGCTAGGCACCAGGGGACATAGATCAATAGGATCTTAATTCAAGGAGTTCACAGTCTGTCTAAAAATCTGCAGACTCTGATGCTTACAGAGGCCATGCCTGTAGTATAAGTGAGTGAAAAGACATTAAAGACCAAGGGGGCTGATGGGTTTTCTGACACACTGTAGAAAATACATCATATCTTAATGGGGCAGCCTTTGCCATAAACTTAGCTGGTTGTGGTATCCAGGAATGCTAATCCAATGTTTCTAGCTTTAGTGTTCTTAAAATGTGAGGTGTCTCTGTTTTTAATGTTGACGTCTAATTACAAAAATTGTCTAGACATTTTGTAGGCAAAAATGCACCTGTAAAGGGTGAAATCAACTTACGAGATGCCATAATCTCAATGGCATTATTAGCTCTGGTCCAAACAGGCATGCATGTGAATAAACCACAAAGCAGGTATTAGGTACAGATGTGGACCAAGTTAGCTTCAAATGACTCCAGGATGGAATGAAAAGGATGTGGTATGTGTGCCATGGGAGGTAGCCAATAAGATGTGATGATCAAGCTGAATTTAAAGAATGACTAAAATCGTGTTAACCAGAAAATTGGAGGAGGTGATTTAAACAAAAAGGGCAGGATGCTCAAAGACTGAGTGAATTTGGTGTTGCTATGTATAAGAGGGAGGGCCTGAGGAGGTGAGACCAAAAAAAAAAGGGTGGGGGGGAGCAAAATGGTAAACGGTCTCACATGAAAAGCTAAGGGATCTGGACCCATTCACTCTCATGGGGATTGTGACCATAGTGGAGACACCTGGTCAGATTTCTGCTCTAGAAATATGGTTCTACTAGTAGAATGGAGGAGGATTGAAGGGGAGTGAGATTAGGTCTATTTAAGAGACTATGGCAGTAGGAATGGGAATTAGGAAGAGATTTGTATCTGACAAAGCATCCTATTAATGTGTGGTACTATTTATATTTTAATTGATATTAAAATGCAAAATCTTCCACATTTTTAACAGCTCTGCAATCAGAACGCATCCTTCAGTTCATGGGATGTGGTTGTTAAATGGGGGCAGGTTTTCTCTCTTTCAGTGATCATAGCATAATGATGCCTCTTCAAATTGATGGCATCTTTGATACAGTGAAATGGAATAATAATCATGCTCTTTTAACCACTAAACTGAATTTGAAAGCAGAGAAGTGGAAGAAGTTCTACAAGTGATAATCCCACCTACCTTTCTGGAAGGGAGCCTTTAAGACATTTCTCTGCTTTGGTGACCAGCTGTCCCCACTTCCTAAGTACTCATTGGAGCAGGGGAGGCACCTGTGTATGCCACAGGAGATGGGAAGTGTGTGAATGGGTAGAGCTGGGAAGGGACCACAGGCCCTCTCTAAAAGACAGTTGCTATTTGTGTTGTGCCAACTGCTGCTGGATGCGAATTAAAAACTAGTGTTGCCAGATTCATGAGATGATGGAAATATGAAATTTTTAATAAAATGCCTCAATATTTAAATGTTGGCAACACATCCAACATTTTAAATAACCCTGTGCAGGCCAAACAAAACATATCTGTGTGCTCTGTAAGCTACCAGCCTGGTCTCTCTGCTAAGCCTCTTGTTGAAGGAGTGATCATACTGATTTCTAATCCTTTCAGTTTCATAATATTAAATGCTAAATGTCGCTGAATGCCAGTGACAAGACTACATCTCATCTGGGAAGATGAAATCTCCTCCTTGTCTGTATCAGCCATCTGGTACAGCTCTCAGCCACATGGATCCTTTAGAAGCAGCTGTGGGGGTAGTCTCAAGGCCTGTGATCTAAAATGAGTTAGTTATTTTGTTCTAAAATATGTCTGTCTGATCATCTATTCAACAGGAAAAATTCTTGGGCATAGTGTTTTGAAATAATAAAATTGTATCTCTCGCCTCAAAATTCCTTTCTTCTCCAGAAACAATACTAAAAGCTGTTGGTGTTTTAAAAGGGGCCTGGAATGCCAAAGGGGACTTCTTAATTCAGCTCTTGTAGATTTATCATTTGCTAATCTCCTGCAATCACAAACATTGTCAACATTTGTAATGTACTATTGATAAATGCATAAAACATAAACATATTGTTTTTCTCTTTTGCAACATCAATGTCTGATTCAAACTCAATAAGGTGATGAAAACTAAGACTATAAGGGAGGAGTGCTGCTCTGCCAATGATGGAATGGCAGGTACTGTACTTGACCTTCTTCCATATATGACTTGGACATACTGCATGAGGCAGTTGTCTTTTGTAACTGAACAATTGGCAGTATAGGGCTGTGATTCCTGAGAGAAGGGAAACACAAGATCAGTACCACATTCACCTTGGCTTCCTAACTGGGACAAGTATGGGGCTTTATGAAGCTAGGAGCAGCTGGGAAGGAGCTGTGAGCTAACAAATATATCAGAGGGGAGATAGGCATATACTGTTGGAAGACCCTGGATCTATGGCCAAGGATTGAGAGACTTCACTGAGCATCTCAGATATTTAGTTGAGATGTCAAAAAGATCACTTAAGAGTGAAGATCATACCATAGAGAAGGACCATAACATAGGACCAAGAACATAACTCAATTAGATCTGCTGTAACAATAAATAAAACCAAACTGAACAGGATCAAATAGATTGGTCAACAATTTAACTGCCACTAAAAGTCAACTCTCTTTGAAAGAAGATATATAATATAATCCAAACTCCCTAGTGTGTATCATTTTACAATTTTGGTCACACAATAAAAAAAAAGGTACCAGACATTCAAAGACACAGGAAATTGGACCCTTAATCAAGGGGGAAAAAACAGCAGTCAATAAAATTGACTTGGAGATAACCCAGATGTTGGAATGAACAGATGAAGAGTGTGAAACAAATATGGTAAATTTATTCAAGAACATGAAGCAAAATATGGGCATAGTGAGTAAACATATGGGGCATCTCAGCACAGAAATAGGAACTATAAAAAATAACCTAATGGAAATTTTAGAACTGAAAAGTACTTATATGAAATTAAAAATTCATAAGCTTAAGACTGGATTGGAGGCTGCAGAAGAAAAGGTCAGTGAACTTGAAGATAAATCAATAGAAATTACCTAACTTGAAGAATAGAAAGAAAAAAACTGGTAAAAATGAACAAAACCTCAAAAACTTGTGGGAAAATACCAAGTAGGCTACTCTACATATAATGTGTGTTCCAGAGGGAGAGGAAAGAAAGAACTAAACCGAAAAAAAAATTTTAAAGAGATAATAGACAAACATTTCCAAAATTTGGTAAAGAATATTGCAGATCCAAGAAGCTAATTGAGCAGCAATCATAGTAATTTAAAAGAAAACAAAACATCGGTATGTAGTCAAAAGACAGAAACTGAAGAGAAAGAAAACATCTTTAAAGCAACCGAAGAAGATATGAGATATACAGGATACAATGATATGAATAACTAATACCTCATCAGAAAAAAATGGAGGTCAGACACACTAGAGTAATACCTTTAAAGTTGTGCAAAAAAACTGTCAGCCAGAATTCTCTGTCTAGTAAAAATATGTCTCAAAACAGAGAGTAAAATAAAGACATTAAAAAATATATTCATTTTTATTGATTTCAGAGAGGAAGGGAGTGGGAGAGAGAGATAGAAACATCAGTGATGAGAGAGAATCATTGATCAACTGCCTCCTACACATCCCTCCACTGGGGATTGAGCCTGCAGTCCAGGCATGTGCCCTGACCGGGGATCGAACTGTGACTTCCTGGGTCATGGGTCAATGCTCAACCACTGAGCCACATTGGCCAAACAAATAAAGACATTTTAAAATAAATGAAACAACTCCAAGTAGGAGGATATGATATATATATATATATATATATCTCCATATCCCTGATACTGAAATAGGGTGCTTGCCCACACCCATGTGGGCAAATAAATGACCCAGAGAAGGGGAAGGTAGTTATGGACAGAGTCTGAACCCAAACTTATTAAAACCTTGGGCTGGAATGCTTCTTAAAATCTGGAGTTCAGTATCATTCTTCAACATGATATTTTTGAGATTTACTTTAAGACTGTAATATTTAACTTCCTTGGAAAACCTCCAGGTCTAATAACAACTTTTTAAATTCTAAAGGTTAGCCATTCATTCTTCAAGTTGTAGATTGAAAATGCCAAATCAGTAATTAAGTCATCTCAGCAGTTTTCCTCCAGTTCTTTATTGGCTTACGGTTCCAATTTCTTTTGTCTTTGGTGACCAAAGAACATTTTGAAACAAGCATTGAAGAGCATTGAGGAGTTACAGGCTGACAGAGCTGGAGGATGAAACAATGGAAACCTGTCATTGGAATGGGGCAACGTGTGTGCTGACATTAAACACTTAGAGACCGACTTGTTCAGGCTCCTGTTCCTGAATATGACTTTACTTTTATGACTTTACTTTCACCCCCAAGAAGAAACAACTGTGAGGTTATAACCAGTCTTCTTTAATAATTCATCTAATTAAAAATCAATGAAAAGAGTAGGCTTGTTAAACAATAGCAAGTCAATCATGTAGAAGCAATATAATGATATGTAGAATTGCACACATTATCTTTTCAACAGATGACTGACAGTTCTTATAAATCACAGCTTTGCTTTTAAACCTTTTCATAATGAGCATTAGGAGGCTCTTTCCTAATACACACATACACACATTGAAAATAAAAACATTAAACATCAAATGCAAAAACAAACAGAAAAAAAATAAATGCATTATAATGTTTAAAAATGATTAATATTTTGATATATAGTAACTATATTCTTTAACCAAGCACCTACAACATTAGAAAATGACAACAAGATTCTTTAGGTTCAAGACCCCTCCCATTAAAAAAAGAGTGAAACTCTTCAATAACATACTGCCTTGATACCCTCAGCAAAGATAGTTTTACATGGCTATGAAGCATATCATTGCAGAAATACAGAGGGAGCAAAGAAACGGTAGTCAGCAGTGCCTCCAAGACTTCAGTCTTTTAAGAGATTCTGTATCTGAAGTTCTCTTGCATTTCCAAAGAGCAAGTTGTAGGTTTGATGGGAAAGGAATCCAAGCCTCTATTGCAGCCGTGGGCAAACTACGGCCCGCGGGCCGGATCCAGCCCGTTTGAAATGAATAAAACTAAAAAAAAAAAAAAGACCATACCCTTTTATGTAATGATGTTTACTTTGAATTTATATTAGTTCACACAAACACTCCATCCATGCTTTTGTTCCGGCCCTCCGGTCCAGTTTAAGAACCCATTGTGGCCCTCGAGTCAAAAAGTTTGCCCACCCCTGCTCTATTGCTTCAGCCTAAACAACCACCAATGTCCCACTAGGTTTGCTCCCCCAAGAAAATCATTCTCTGATTTATAATCTCCCTTACTGGGAGAATGCCCATGATGCTAAATTGTCTTCACATTGTGCAATCTCATTCTGATTCCCTAAAACAGCGATGTGAGTTCAGACTTCTGACTTCCTGCTTCCATTTCAAATCAGAATTGATCTCTACCTGGCCCTTTGAATGCATTCAGATATCTATCTCTCAGCTGGTGGGTAGACAGTTATAGGTCAATGTGCTTGGATTTCTTTTGCAAGAAAAAATAAAATTGAACCAATCTCTCCTTAAGACAAAGAAGGAGAGCAAAAGGGAGAATAAAGGAGTGAGATTATGAAAAAAGAAAAGAAAAAACATGTTTTATAAAAGAGATGAAGCAAATTTTGATAGTTGTTCTTTAAATGTTGAGTGTGAGGAACATGTAAAGATAAACTGTAGGTTAAAAAGCCCCTTTTTTTGTACTAAGTAGTCCTAAATGGGTAGCAAAGGACTCTATACTTGAAATGTCTATAGGTAAATAAATATATATGGAGCTTTTTCCATACATCCATAAGTTTGGCCAGGTATCAACATCAAGTGCTTCTTAATAGCTTAACAGGGGCTATAATGCATGTGCATATAATATCCTATATAATAAAAGCCTAATATGCAGATTGTCCCCTTGACAGGGAGTTCGACCAGGGGGTGGGGCCGGCTGGCCAACTGCGGGAAGGGAGACCCCATCTGGCAGCCAGCAGCCGTTAGGGACCCTACCCATGCATGAATTTCGTGCACTGGGCCTCTAGTACACATATAAAATAGCATATACACCACATTACGGTTATCATGTACACATGATAAAGTAGGTTTGACTACTTTTTCTTCATTCTCTGATATGAAACATTTAGAGTCTTTTGCGTTTAACTTTTTTTAAAATAACCATATTAGACAAGACTAGAGCTAAAATATGATTTTTCCAAGATTTCTGTTAAACAAAAACAATTTGAAAGTAGAAGTCAGGTTCTGATTCCCAAGGAGTATTGATTTTCTTTCTCATCAAATGATAGCAGAAAAATTTCTAGTTTCTATATTTCTTGGCCTTTTTGTTAAAGAGTATGTTAAAAATGAGGAGACATGAGTAGTGAAGCATATTTTTTTTCAGTTGAATAACTCTGACTATAATATCCTCTAATCTCTGATCTCCTTTCTTCCTTTGGATCTCAGGAAATTTTGTTTAATCTCTCTTTATATCATCTATTTTGAAGCAAGAATACAGCATTATAACAACATGTTATTTCTATATTAAAAATTAACTGTTACTGTGCATAATAACTTTTATCTCTCTCTATAAAAGCCTAAGTGACCATTACGACCAGACAATTGGACAACCAGGTGACAAGCCAGTAGCTATGACACACAC